GAGAATGGCTTGAGCCCAGGAGTTGGAGGTTGCTGTGAGCTATGATGCCACAGCACTCTACCAAGGACAACATGTGAGACTGTCTCAAAAAAAAAAAAAAAAAACTATGCTAGTTACCTCATCACAGTCCTGCTTTTTTTTTTTCTGAGACAGAGTCTCACTTTGTTACCCTTGGTAGAGTGCCATGGCGTCACAGCTCACAGCAACCTTAAACTCCTGGGTTTAAGCAATTTTTTTGCCTCAGCCTCCCAGGTGAGGACTACAGGTGCCTGCCACAACACCTGGCTATTTTTAGAGACGAGGTCTTGCTCTAACTCAAGCTGGTCTTGAACCTGTGAGCTCAGGCAGTTCACCCTCCTCAGGTGTGAGCCCACTGCACCTGACCTGACAGTCCTGTGTGCTGAAGTTGCTTCAGAGGTGGAATATCTGTTCTTAACACATTGTTTGGACGGTTTCATAAATCACTTTAGGGAGATGTCCTCATGAGGCTAATTTATCAAACTGGGGTGTGGTATAACTGCCCTTTAAAAAGTTGTAAGGGGCTCAGCACCTGTGGCTCAAGCAGCTAGGTGGGTTCGAATCCAGCCCAGGCCCACCAAACAATGATGGCTGCAACCAAAAAATAGCCGGGTGTTGTGGCGGGCGCCTGTGGTCCCAGCTACTTGGGAGGCTGAGGCAGGAGAATGGCTTGAGCCCAGGAGTTGGAGGTTGCTGAGCTGTGATGCCCCAGCACTCTACCCAGGGGGACAGCTTAAGGCTCTGTCTCAAAAAAAAAAAATACTAAGTTGTAAGGAGTCAGAACACTGCCTAGCACACCACGTAGGAAACAAGGCGTTGCTCTCAAATTGAATTATATCCTCAGCAGTCAAGCTGGGAGCCCTTGGCTCATTTCAGACAGTTGGATTCCACTCTTGGACTCTTTGCAGATTTCCAAACTTTATGGGCAAGGCCAAGCACCCCAAGACTGAGGGAGAACCTGGAAAGTGTGCTTGGCTTCATCCTGACCCCATCTGTCACTTGCTGTGACTTGGGAATTTACTTCCTTTATGGGCCTTGTTTCCTTATTTGTAAAGTGGGAGTAATGCCTGGATTAGAAGGCTGCTGTGAAGGTTAAATGAGAAGGGGCAAAGAGTGCTTTGTAAATGCAAGCCTTGTCACTGCAAGAGCCTTACCACTGCCACCATGGAGCCTGGGGAGTTGGGGTGTGGGGTTTCATTGCAGCAGGTATTTACCAAGCAGTCCTCTTTGCCTGGTAGTAAAGTGCCCAAAACCATTGCCTTCCCTGTGGAATTTTCTAAGTGTTTTCAGGGCTGTCTTGCTTCTTACAACACACTTTATTCTCTCTCTTCCAGATCTTACTGTGCAGAGATTGCTCACAATGTTTCCTCCAAGAACCGCAAAGCCATTGTGGAAAGAGCAGCCCAGCTGGCCATCAGAGTCACCAACCCCAATGCCCGGCTGCGCAGCGAAGAAAATGAATAGACAGCTCATGTGCACATTCTATTTGTGTTTAAATAAAACCATAAATACTGCCATCTGGCATTTTCCTTCCTTTTTAGTCTTCAGACTCTTGACTTTGACAGCTTGTCACAGATTGTTCTTTTCCTGTAAAACCCTTTGGAATCTTCATTTGTAGGGTTTGTTAAGAACACTACATCCTGAGCAGGTAACCTTGCTTTAGATGCCCAGGCTTGGTCAGCTCTAGTAGGGGTTGGGGAAGGGGGAAGATTATTGGCTCTCACACCAAGGTAGGCTCTGACACACTTGATGGAAGCAGCCTGCCACTCCCAAGCAGCAGACAGTCTCCCTACCCTTATTTTGTAAAACTGGGTGACAGCCCGTGTGGTTCTTGTGGAAATTGAGAAAATGTGCATGCAAACATCAATGAATTTCTTACTCCTTAAATTCTTAAATAGCATATTTTAATTTCTGGTCAGAACTATAACAGGATGTTGCATAAATTGCTCTTTTATGTGATTTGCTTTGCTTTTGTCACATTCGTGGTCCTTTTCTCAGATACTGTTTCAGGGGAAATTTTCCCAGGATGTGGAGGTCTTTGTAACTCATAAGTAGGCCTGTTGATTGCTACTTAATTTTTTTTTTGGAGCAGAGTCTCACTTTGTTGCCCTAGGTAGAGTGCTGTGGCATCGTAGCTCACAGCAACCTCAAACTCTTGGGCTCAAATGGTCCTCTTACTTTAACCTCCCAAATAACTGGGACTACAGGTGTGACCTCGATGCCTGTTTTTAGAGATGGGGTCTCCTTGTTACTCATGCTGGTCTTTTCTTTCTTTCTTTTTTTCGAGATAGTGTCACTCTGTTGTCCTCAGTAGAGTGCTGTAGTGTCACAACTCACAGCAACCTCCAACTCTTGGGCTTAAGGGATTCTCTTGCCTCAGCCTCCCAAATAGCTAGGACTACAGGTGTCTTCCACAACGCCTGGCTATTTTTTTTGTTGCAGTTGTTTAGATGGCTCAGGCCAGGTTCAAACCCGCCACCCATGGTGTATGCGGTTGGTGCCGTAACCACTGCTACAGGCGCCAAACAAGGCAAGAGCTTTTTAAGAGGCAGGGTTTGGGCTATGTTGCCCAGGCTGGCCTTGAACTAGGCTCAAGTGATCCTGACTACCTGGGACTACAGGCATGTACCACTGTGCCCAGCTAGTTTAAGAGCTAAGATCTCAACTATTGCCCAGGCTGTAGTACTCCAAATTTAACTAAGTACCCTTTTAAACTATAGTCCTTAACCTTAGACGAGAGGTCCTCAAACTTTAAACAGAGGGCCAGTTCACTGTCCCTCAGACTGTTGGAGGGCCAGATTGTGGGCCATAGGACACCTGCCTTAGATAATAGCTAGAATTTAGCATCACTGTTTTAATTACGTGGTCTTGATTCTACTTTTCCAATAAATGGTTAAGGGGTAGTATAGGTCATAAGGGATATGGTATATGGTACTTGTTAGTAACAAAACAAGTACTTACAGGAAGTAACTATCTTGATCAACGTGTGACTTCAGTACTGTCATTCCCTAAGATCGTCGTTTTTCAACCTTTTTTATCTCATGGCACACTTGAAACTATAAACTTCATGGCACAATTAAGTTATGTTGATCAAAGAAACAAAGGGTAAAAAAGAATATGCTTTGAACTTCTTTACAAATAATTTAATTGGTGATCTTTAAAATTTTTCACGGCACACCAGTTGAAAATCACTGTATCTCACAGCCTATCTTGTTTAAAACCTAGTCTTAGGCTCAGCGCCTGTGGCTCAAGTGGCTAAGGCGCCCGCCACATACACCTAAGGTGGTGGGTTCGAATCCAGCCCG